TAGAAAGAAGTGTGGCTCGTAATAAAATGATCAACCCCCAACCTACTTAATTAAGCGTGATAAGTCAGGAAAAAAAATATATTATTATTATATATGAAACATTAATAATATCATAGGATCCAAATTTTTAATAAATAATGCTCCATTTCCTCAATAGCTTGGAAACGTACTAATGCCACTTCTGTTTAGACCAAATTATTTTCATTAAGATAATCAAATATACTTTTGACATTTATTGATTAATTTTTGGTTGGTCATAATATTATTTTATTTTTAAATGATATTCATCCCAAGAATTACATGTTGGAAATATTTTAAAAAAAAATAAGGTGAGAAAATTACTCCTTACTTTTTCAAAACGGATGACACTAAAGCTATTGAAGAATATTTGAATAAATAAAAGATATTTACAAAAAATGGGAAATACAGCTCCTATAAAAGTGACAACAATAAAAGGACGTTAACAAAAAATAAAAAAAAACAAAAAATAGAAGATAAATAATTTGCAATTCATATTAAGTTAATTGTCAGCATTATTTGGTTTGGGCAAGTGATATCTTTAAATTTATCTTACACAAACGGATGAATATTATTACAAAGGTATTCTTGACACTTTAAGTTCATAGTAGAGTGTCCAGTATTATACATTTTTTTTCCAAATTATGCTCTTATTGCAACCATAATTTTTGGCCAAAATTAAAATGCACAAAATTTAATTTTTCTAATTAAGATACCAAAAGAATATCTCTACATCAACATCAGATACAGGAAACCAAACATATTTTAATGCAATTGGACTTAGTGTTGGTAATATTTTTTTTTTTCATTCCAATAATTCATTGAAATTTTCTTGCAAATTACAATAGAACCTTTCTTTCTACTTTTTCCGCCAGTAGTTTTGTCAACGGTTAGACTAATTGTTTTTGAATTTCCCACTTGTAAATTCATAACATATTTTTCTTGTAGTTGATTTGAACCTACAATAAAACCCTCTGATAATACTAAGATATAATAATAAAAATAAATAATTTTATATTTTCTCCCAACCATTCTTTGTAAATGCTTCAATGATTGTAATATTAATTTTTTCGCAATCATTAGTAACGAAAGAACTCAAAGATCTTTGTAAAGATTAAATTTTGAAAAGTAAATTATTTGTAGATTATGCAACTACTCAAAAATTAAGAATTATGCGAAAGCATAATCCTGGGCACTCTGGCACAGAGGAGTAGGTGTTAATATGGGGATTGATAAAGCTTTAAGATCATTTATAAGTTTACAAATTTACGTTTTCTAATTTTAATTCGTGGAAAGGCCCATTGGTAACTTCCCGAGCTTTTTACAACACCAGGATTAGAAGGTCCAAAAAGAAAATGTTGAAATTTTTGAATAACTTTTAATTTCTTCTTGAAATAATTCTCCAAACTTGATTTAATGAAATTAAAATAAAAATACATACAAGATTTTTCAAGAAATAAGCATGCTACGGATAAAAATTCATTTATTCAATTTTTGTTTCTTTGAGTATTTTTGTTGTTCTAGATCTTGCTTGTGATTGAAGAACCCGTTTGAAACCACATTTTTAAAGTTTTCCATACTCCATTCAAAACTACAATCACAATCATAAGAAATTCGAACTGTTGGTTTTCCTAATGTGCCAGACCAACGGTTAAAACGCCAAAGATATTAATATCCGGATGTATCCGACCGAGTAGCCTAAATGAACATTTGGCTAAACCGACTAAACTACTTAGTCAAGTTTAGTCAAGGCAATTATTATCAAATTAGAATTTTAACCCCTTTACGCGGGCCAGCCTGATTTCCCAAATATATTATATACTCCCGAGTACTAGTCGTATATCATACCATTTATGGGAAGATCAACACTCGTGAATACAAGGAGATATTGACCTATCGTATTTTTATTTACTTGGAGAATATTGATTTTATTTATTTCTCAGTTTCTCAGTTAAGGAAGACAAGCTGAGAACAAAATCTTGTTTATTAGGAAACTTAATTTTCATATTTAGTTTTCATGTCAACTAAAAAGACACATTCTAGTTTAATAATAACATAAAAAATAAAATAATAAAATACACCAAAATTACTTGTCGCGTTTCAACGAATTTTGTACGTGAAGCAAAAATTCGTTATAATGCGAATTTAATTGAAACTATAATAATATTATGAACAAACACAATTAATGTATCAAATTTATTATTCGTAAAATTTCTAATAAGGAGAATCTCTATATAAAATTGCAATCATTATCAAAAGGGCCTTAATATCATGTCGTACTTGTTCAGATTTTTGTGATTTAATAGCATGTTGACTGACATATTAAAAACCCATTAAAAATTGGTTTAGAAATGGTTTAGGAAAATAATTTTGTAGCAAGATATTTACTAATTTGTATTACAACGAATTTTCGCTTCACATATAAAAACATATAAGATTCGTTGAACTGTGATAAGTAATATTTTGGTATAATAGTAATGAGTGTCACCATAGGTTCTTTGAGACGAAGTTTGACCGTATGCAGTTGTTTTCAAAATTTTTCAAGCCGATCATACTATATTAAGTATTCGTTATACCTTACTGATGAGCACTCACGAGTACTCGTGCAGATCACTCATAGAGTGTTAATCACCAGGGTTTCTATTCGAATAAGGTTTATTCAATTATTCGTTTTATTCGTTACGAATTTGAGTATTCGAATAAAACTAACAATTCGAATAAAATGAACGATAATAATAATAATAAAATTTATAATAGTAATTCGAATAATCCAATCCATTAAAATTTTTTTTCTTTATCAATCTATTTTTCCTTAGTCCTTGAATATAGTAACGGTTCTTTGATTTTTACATAATTGTCATTCTAAATATAGTCTCCTCAATACTAAAGCCGGCTACATTTTTTCTAGAATAATCCGATTGATCAATTAGCACAGGTGCGATTGTATCTTTTCATTTTCAAAAAAAAAAAAAATACGAATTTCAAGTAAAATAAATAACTTTTAAATAGATCACTGACATATAACTTTGTAATTATTACATAATATTGAAATAAACACATTTTAAGTTTTATTATCTCTTATTTACGAATTGTTGGGTAGTTGAAGGGCAAGACCGTTGTGAATTGCTTCGTAACCCTTTCTAAAGATTAATGGTTTGGAAAACTCCAATGAAATATGAACTTTAATATCAAGTGAGTAGTATGAATATGTAGACAATGCTATGGATATTGATCTTGTACCGCTAGACAGCGAGAAATGTCTAACTGCTGTAGAAGATCAGGTAGAGGAATTAACACTACCAGTAAATTAAAAGTTGGCACTTGTATATTATGACCAACGAATGAATAGATGATGATTGTATGATTGGTAATAGGATGTGGTATATATGTTAGGACTATAGTTAGTTTTTCTTTAAATTGTCCATATGCGCTAAATTTGTTTGATCCCCAAAATTCAGTACGGTATGATTGGTTTGACGGGTTGTTGATTAGTAAAATATTTTTTTATAGCAGAGCAAATAAAATTTTTTATCATTCTACTGACCAGTTTACACATTAAAAGTACTCGTATTTACATATGCGCTGATTTTGTTTGAACCCCAAAATCCAGTACGGTATGATCATAACGTTATGAATACTTTATACTAGCAAAACCCATTGGTTTTGAGGTTGGGCCATTGGTTTGACGGGTTGATGGATAGTAATTAGTTTTTTTAGCGGAGAAAATAATTTGTTTTAGGGTAATTATCATTCTACCGACCAGTTTACACATTGAAAATACTCGTGTTTAACATCGAGACACAATAAAACATAAGGTTTGAAAAAAGGCCCAAAAAACCAAATCAGCTGATATGGTTTGAGATATTTCACGAGTCAATTATTTTATTGGTTTATTACAATAATTAAGTAACAAATTTTAAACACAAGTTCCCATATTTCTGGTGATATTGATAATAATGATTGATAAAATGACATTAAATTCAAAATGTTTCATGATTAGTTAGCTCATTAGCCGGCGAAAAAATTTTACGCGGTGTCATTTATACATAATACTACAGATACAATGGGAATCCTCTTCTGATCAGGGAATTTGTGCAAAATAATTAGATATATGTTCAACAAGTTATTTTACTGTGTTTTATTTAAAAAATAAATAAGTTTATAAATAAAATTATAACTTAAAATACATATATTACCAAAATTACACTAATAAAATAAAATCACACCCGATATTAGGCCTGTTCAATTTTGACAACTTTGTTTTGCAAACCTCTTCCAGCCAGTGAGTGGCATTGAGATGTTGAGTTTGTTAATTAATTCTTTTTTGCACAAAATTGAACAGATCTACTATCGCAACAAATATATTGTTATCAACTAAGATTTCCATATCCAAAACTTACCACCCACATAATTATGTTCTCCCCAATCACCTAACATTCCTATTTGTGTTAATACTCCATCATATATCCATTGTTTTAGGGTAATTATCATTCTACCGACCAGTTTACACATTGAAAATACTCGTGTTTAACATCGAGACACAATAAAACATAAGGTTTGAAAAAAGGCCCAAAAAACCAAATCAGCTGATATGGTTTGAGATATTTCACGAGTCAATTATTTTATTGGTTTATTACAATAATTAAGTAACAAATTTTAAACACAAGTTCCCATATTTCTGGTGATATTGATAATAATGATTGATAAAATGACATTAAATTCAAAATGTTTCATGATTAGTTAGCTCATTAGCCGGCGAAAAAATTTTACGCGGTGTCATTTATACATAATACTACAGATACAATGGGAATCCTCTTCTGATCAGGGAATTTGTGCAAAATAATTAGATATATGTTCAACAAGTTATTTTACTGTGTTTTATTTAAAAAATAAATAAGTTTATAAATAAAATTATAACTTAAAATACATATATTACCAAAATTACACTAATAAAATAAAATCACACCCGATATTAGGCCTGTTCAATTTTGACAACTTTGTTTTGCAAACCTCTTCCAGCCAGTGAGTGGCATTGAGATGTTGAGTTTGTTAATTAATTCTTTTTTGCACAAAATTGAACAGATCTACTATCGCAACAAATATATTGTTATCAACTAAGATTTCCATATCCAAAACTTACCACCCACATAATTATGTTCTCCCCAATCACCTAACATTCCTATTTGTGTTAATACTCCATCATATATCCATGGATTTTGATTTGTATTGATATATTTTTTGTGAAAGCTCAATTTTGCTCTCGATGTGATTTTTCCATCATAAATAATAAATTCTCCGATATAATCAGTACCACGACCATTGAAATGAATTACAATTATTTGTTCTTGTTCCTGTTTATGAATTATTTCATTTTTAACTTCAGTAAAATTTAAATTCATTTTCATCGATCCATCGTAATTAACTCTATCCATCTCTTCCTCAACAAGATCATCATCATGAATAAATCTTTTATAAACATAATATCCTGCCCATTTTCCATCCAAACTACCTTTATCGTAAGGAAAAAAATTTTTGACTCCTTCTCCATTTAATTCATACAGACCATCAAATAATTTACTATTTGGTCTAATTTTTGGTGGTTCGACATAATCATATATTAGTGTTGAAAGATCAGTCGTGAGAAGTTTTGTACGGAAATAAATATGTGTTTTCAACGCCTTCTCCAAACTATAGTTCAAAATACGGCCACGTGGTGGATAAAAGATATTTAAATTTTCATTAATTTCAAAACTTATATCTTTATTCACTGATGAAGTAATGATTTTCCAAAGATTTAAACCTTCATCGTTCTTATAATATCTTATTTTAGTAGCAATATTTGGATCTTTGTAGTTAAATAAACAAATTAAAATTTAATAAATTAATAAACAAAAATAACTATAGATACAAGTTATCATTTTAGAGAATATAGAAGTTATACTTACCCCATGACAACATCATTGAAAGAATATAAAGTGCAAATTTTGATATATTATGATTATATTTATTATATTTATAAAAAAGATTAACATCATCAACATCACCATTAAAAATGTTGTCAATAAAATTCATAACATCAACAATATCATCTTCCTTATCATTATCTTCTCTCCCTTCATTATCACCACCTTCATAATCGTTAACACCATCATTGACACCACCTTTTCCCCTTTCCATTTCTGCTCCCACTTCTAATCTAGTTAATCCTCCTTCAATATTTATGCCATTCTCTCTTTCAGCTTGATAGTTGGTTGCATTTGTAGCAGATCTTTCATTTAGTCCAGCCAAATTTGTTCCATTAATAGCAATCAATCTTATAACATAGTCAACCACTCTTGCTAATTCAAGCTGACTTGTATTTTTTCCATCTGTATTGTTTTTTGTGAAAGATTAGAATTAATTGAAAATGTGGTTTGTTTAAGAAAAAAACAATAATAAATTCTTTAAAAAAATGATTTATACCATTTTCTGAACAAATTTTTTGAATTCTCTTTAATTTTAACAAATCAGGTTGATCCTCGTTATTATTAATAATGTCTTTTAGCCACACACTACGATTTTTGTACCAAGTTTTCCAATGACTATTAATATCACTATTTAAAAGTTGTTTTCTTTGATATCTTCTTTTTAATCCCAAAGAATCAAATCTTTGCTCAAAAACAATTTTCCATAATAAATTATCTTTCGCAAGATTATAAAATCTATGGCAAGTTTTTGATAAATTTGAAAGTAGAACATGAGGTTTGTTGATGTTATAGTTGTTATCACCAACATCGTCTTCGTCTTCGTCGTCGTAATTATTACTATTGTTGTTGTTATCGTCAAGGACACAATACTCGATAATAAGCGTCAAAATTTCATCTTGAAGGTGTAAAAGGTTTAATGTGATGAGTTGTTGAGGTTGAGTAGAATCGGACTTCATTTAAACAACAAAATTATACCTTTTTTTAGATCCAATTACGTAACCATAAGTTCAATTTGGAAAATAGCGTTTGGTAATCATAATATTTACCTAGTTTCCCTTTCTAGTATAAGATAGTCATATTTCTACCCAATCAAAATAAAAAAAAACGAGGTTTTAGTGTTATTCGGGTAAAGTTCGGAATTGTAAATAAATACGCCACATTAATATATATTAATATATTATTATTAATATTTATTATTATGTACAAATAAAATTTGGGCAACTTATGACCTACTTACTACAAGAAGAAGTTCAAATAAACACAAGTTTACGAAACCTTGAGATTTTTATTTGAAAATAAAATAAATGGACTTTTAATGTCAACTTATACATGAGTCGCATTGAATCTTCTTTTTCACCTATTATAAATAATAATCAGAATTGCGTTTAATAATTAAATTAATTTCTTAAAACAGAAAATTGATTGCACTATTATTATTATTATTACAATTTGTATATGGAGGACTACAAAATATTTTTATTATTATGAAAGTATTGTGATAA